TGGCGTGCAGGAAGGCGGTTTCTGTCTCAAGGTGGACAAACGAGTCCACCTTGAGAATCAAGCGTCAAAAAAGGAAACCTGACCTCATCCACATTTCTGGCTCCCTGGCAGATATGCTGATCCCCTGACTATTTTGAGTTACTGCCCCAGAGCAAGCATGCAGCGAGTAAAGTCAGAATTCCTGAACTGCATATTTGTTCCACGTCAGGTACTCAAAATGTACAACAGAATTTAGATCAACACACCAGCAATGACCGCCTCCATAATATGTCAAGCACGGGTTTCCCTTACAGAGAACCGCAGGCTCCCATCCATTGCTGCAGGATTCCAAATTCTGAGACGCAGAATCGGTTTGGATGCAGAGCTGTGACGTGGATGGTGCAGACGTAGTGTCGACTATGGGCGTCAGGCAATGACAGCGCCCAGCTCTGGATAGGAAGCTCAGCTGTGACAGGTAATAGACACCTTCGCAAGCACTGAGCATCAGAAAGAAATTTAACATTGTTCTTAGTGGTGCCCGAGTACCAGCTGGCAAATACTGGAACTTTTACTATATAGATGAAGGACATTGATAGCCAAGCTGGCAAATAACGAACCTTTCACTATGTAGATGACACACTGGTGCCCGAGCAGACAAATATTGGACCTTTGACTATACAGATGAAAGACACTGGTACCCAAGCTGGCAAATACTGGAGCTTTCACTATATAGATGAGACATTGATGCCCAAGCAGGCAAATACTGGACCTTTCACTATATAGATGAAAGATACCAATGTCCAAGCACCAGTTGGCAAATACTGGACCTTTCACTGTAATAGATGTAAGACACATTTAGGGGAATTTATCAGAACTGGAGCAGACTAAACCTGGAGCAGCTGGGCACGGCAACCAATCAGGCCTAGAATGGGCACTGGGACCCTTCAACCGAGGAACAATACCCAGAATTCTCCAACATCAAGTTACTTCAGGATTGGCAGTTTCATAAGAGCTGCGGAATACACACCACCCCAAGCCTATTCAGCAATATTATTACAAATAAAAACAATGGGGCCAATGAGCGTCCTATAAAGAGACTGGACACTTAAGTCGCACTGGAACTTTAGTATATCAACTGTACAATCTAAAATTCCCATTCCTGCAAATTGACTACTTCCCATACCACAGGCTTGCGCACTGAGACGCATACAAATACGAGGGGAAAAAAATCCATCACTGAGGCAAAGACATTCCAGAGAGACAACAATTAACAAGTTCTTCTGAAGCAGCCACAAAAGATTACAGCTTGCCGGCCGCTGATGGGCTTGCCCCTGCACTTACAAGCCATCATCAATGCACCGCAGATATTTCTGCACATAATGGGTTAAATAATCCTCAAGAAGCCGAGCACTGCAAAGACAGCACCCTTACATTTGCAGCAAGTGTATCTGCCAGTGTGTGGTTAACATTTCGCGCCACTTAAAGCGCGATGCCAGCACGAGAGAAAAGGAAATAACACCAGAAGCGAAGAATCTGCATAGAAAACAGGCACAAGGAGATCATCTAACTGAAGATTTTTGGCCATCAAGAGGAGAAAGGGTTAACAGGTTGTGTTCTCGCAGTTGTGACTATGACAAACCATCCCCCACCCCTTCCCCATCTCCTCCGAGAGGCTGAAAGATTCATTCAAACAGGGAAATGGAGGAATCAGGGCAATCTCACCTAACACATCAAGAATCCCCCCAACCCACCCCAATTAGGTCTTCAGCCTCAACAGACCTGCTCTACCCAAGCCCACCCCCCTTACAAAATGGGGGGGGGGGGTTTGCAGAGATAAAAGACCAGGGAGGTGGTGATGGTGGGATTTTCCGCCAGGCTAGAATAAGATGGCAGCCCCCCTCAATGTCTCCCATGCACAGAGCGAGCTATTTTTAGCATCCAATGCGCCTGCCTTCAGAATCGCCCCCCACCTCCTCCCAGCAACCATGAAATGTGTCACACCACCGATAGAGCCTTCCCCACCATTTCTGATGAATGTTACCCCTTGCTGCCAAAGGGTTAATGCAAGGTGCTCCTCAGGCCACCCTACCCTCAGAATGATGGTCTACACAAGCGAGACAATCCCCCATAACAGCTCTACATTTTGCAGCAAGGCATCTCATCCTCTGCAGAACAGCCAACTCTTGCTAGGCTTCCGCATCACAAGCTCCATCCAATGACCTATTTTATGATCATAATAATTCCAGTGCTGAAACGTAAACTGCAGCAGCCTGACACCATGCAGCAATAAGCCAATGCTGACATCGGAATGCCACCAACCTGACGTCTGCCATGGAGGAAAATCTAGCATCAGAGTATTTATTGCACATAACAATCCATACGTTGGCCTTCATTATGACATTTGGTCTACGGGATGCCTACATACCCTATAGAAGTCCTATAACGTTTGCCTATTCTGAAGGGCAGACATATCTACTCATACATTCACTCTAATGGAGGAGATGTTCCTCTCTGTAGCCCTCCATCACTGGGAATCCTCACCATTAGACAAGACTCCATTAGTTAGAATGTATTCCAGCTCTTGTCCACCAGAGGTCACCAATTTATGAACAGTATCCCCTTATTGGTCCCCCTCGTCATGTCACCATTGCAGTTATGAACACAGAATCAGGGGTATTCCATATGTGTTTTCTACATACAAGTGTATGACCATTACAAAACTCCAGACCCTACAAGAAAAATGTCACATAGAAAAAACCCCAACGCTACATCCTACGATCACCTACCCCCCACACCCCAATGCTGCATCCTCCCATCACCTACCCCTAAAACCCCAATGCTGCATCCTCCCATCACCTACCCCCAACACCCCAATGCTGCATCCTCCCATCACCTACCCCCAACACCCCAATGCTGCATCCTCCCATCACCTACACCCCAATGCTGCATCCTCCCATCACCTACACCCCAATCGTGCATCCTCCCACCACCTACACGCAACACCCCAATGCTGCATCCTCCCATCACCTACACCCCAATCGTGCATCCTCCCACCACCTACACGTAACACCCCAATGCTGCATCCTCCCATCACCTACCTCCCACACCCCAATGCTGCATCCTCCCATCACCTACCCCCAACACCCCAATGCTGCATCCTCCCATCACCTACCCCCAACACTGCATCCTCCCATCACCTACACCCAACACACCAATGCTGCATCCTCCCATCACCTACACCCAACACCCCAATGCTGCATCCTTCCTTCACCTAACCCCACACACCAATGCTGCATCCTCCGATCACCTACACCCAACACACCAATGCTGCATCCTCCGATCACCTACACCCAACACACCAATGCTGCATCCTCCGATCACCTACACCCAACACACCAATGCTGCATCCTCCAATCGCCTACAACCAATGCTGCATCCTCCGATCACCTACACCCAACACCCCAATGCTGCATCCTCCGATCACCTACACCCCACACACCAATGCTGCATCCTTCGATCACCTACAACCAACACACCAATGCTGCATCATTGCCCCCACCACTGTCCTATAGGATAACCTCTAAGATTGGATGCTCAGCTCAAGGCTGTGGTGACAACAGTCTCATCTGCATTACAACACCTCACTCGCTGTCAGCAGATAGACACGGCACATAATTGAATACATCTACTAGGAGGAAAGGGGCCTAAATCTTGTCCTCAGCCACCCAGCTGAATAAATAGATCACCCAAAAACCACAATTCAGAATTATAATGACATTAATAATTTGATTCTACTGATCGGGGACACCTCAAATATTCAAGAGCTTCTACAGTCCAATAGTCGAAACACTGTGGATAGATAAATACCATACACCGACCAAGCCTGATGACGAATATATTAAGCTTTGACAATCCCATTATCATGCACATTGACAGAGCCAACTCAGAAACATTTTGGATGTATGGAAAGGTGTATGGGCAGCCCACTAATATAGCATATACGCATATCATGGTGGATCAAGTCCTCCAACAAGTCCTTCGTCAGCATTTCATATTTCAAGGGTACTCCAGTGGTACCATCTTACATGTATTCCAACCTCTGTCAGCCCTTGCTCTGGAATCTTACGCAGCTCAGAAACATTTTAGCTGCAGGAAAACATGCCTGGGCAGCCTATAAATATCGATTATAGGCATACGATGGTGGACCAAGCCCTCCATCAGCATTTCCTAATGCTCAAGAACTATAATGGTACTGTCTTAGTTGGAGCTCTGCCAACCCTTGCTTTGTAATCTTAGAGTTCAGAAACATTTTAACCACAGGAAAACCTCCATGGGCAGGCTACTATTAATTAGGCATATATGACGGTGGACCAAGTCTTCCATCAGCTCCTCCATCATCATTTCATATTTCTCAGGAACTCCAGGGACACCATCTTGCATGTATTTCAAGCTCTGCCAGCCTTTGCCAAGGAATCTCAAACATTTAGCCATAGGAAAATGTGTATCAATTAAGTGTATATGATGGTGGACCAAGTCCTCCATCAGGTCCTCCGTCAGCATTTCAGATTTATCAAGCTCTGCCAGCCCTTGCTAAGGAATCTCACTCCTTCTAGTGCATTCACCTCAATGTAAAATCGATGGAACATATGAACAAGGGCATAAAAGCCCCAACTCAGGTGGGGGCACCCCAATAATAGCTCAGGTCTACAGATTGGGCTGCAAAAGGAGATGTATGAAGCTGGGGGGGGGGGGTATGTCAAACGGATGTCATCAACCCAGGATAGAGATATCAGATGAGGGAGGACTAACCCTTTAAGAAGCCATATAATACATTGAACCAGAAGATTATTTATCATTCATGATGTCCATGATCAGGAATCAATGAGCTGGATGGAGATGTGCAATGAACAGCTATGACCTGCCAGGACTCACACATACACATTGCAGTGGGTCATGGAGGATGTGCTGGGGGCTATCCTATCACGTCTCACACATAGGAATGATGGCTGTAGCCTGCTTACCCCAGCTGCTGGCCGTGCGGCCCAAGATCTCCCCACTGCGCGGGTTGTAGATGAACTGCTTCCATGCAGAAGAGGACTGCTCCGTGCTCTTGTTCTCCTCCTTGGCCATGGTGATGCTGCTGGAGATGGCGGGGATCAGAGGGAGGATAAGGCAATGAGTCCCGGCGCTGCGGTGCACTCTGAAGCGAGAAAGCGTAGCCTGGACCACTAAGTCCCCGCCGACCGCTCTCCAATCTGAGGCTGCTGCGGCACCAGCACACAATTCCCCGGCACAGCAAAACCTGGGCGTAGCCGCGCGCAGCCACTCACGGTCTTCCTAGAGAGAAATGGGCGGGGGCGACCGCGGGCCCACAGCCTATCCTTTCAGGAGGCGGGCGTGGCCTACGAGCGCGGTCAAGACTAGTGGAGGGGAGTCCTGCGCAGGAGGGCGGAGCCGCCACACGCCGAGTCCGATCTCCGCTATTGCTGCAGAGGCG